TGTGTGTGTCTGTGCGCACATGTGTGTGTACGCTGCAAGAGATGTGGATGTTCACGCACACGCATGCGCGTGTATGTGAACGACATCTTTATTTGTTGTCGGAAGACAAAGCTTCACAGCAGCGAAATAGGTGGTACATTGACCCCAGAGTTAGCTGAATGCAGAGGAAAATCATTTGCATGAACACTTTTCCCTTTCTGGGAGCAGATTTGCAACTCCTCACCAAGAAGCTGCAGTGGGAGGAGTGAGGAGAGAGGATTATTTCTTTCACTTCCGCAGCATGTTGACCTCACTCTTCCCTTGAATGAGCGAGCCTGTGGAGGTGCCAGCATTCATGGTTTTCCACAGCCTGAACTACACAGAGAACCACAGCCATTTTCCCTGGAATCAGCCCCCAGCTGAGCAGCATTCTGCCCTTCGTGCTTTTTTTCCCAGAACTGCTGTAATACAAAATGACCTGGAACTAGACATTAACAACAAACACACTTCTTCAATTCTCTTTCTCCTTCCACAACCCTACCAAGGACAGTCGGGATGCTGTGTTTCCTCCCAACCCTAAACACAAGCATTTACTAACCCAGGGTGATTCATCTACCATTTTGGGTTTGTTGATGGAACAGAAGTTAACATTCTGGCAGTCAATCCCTTGAAATAGAAGCAGGCCTATGTTTAGATGAAGATCTCAACAATAATCAAAAACATGGATCAAAAAACTAAACAACGCTCCCCCTCCAAAACCAAACAAACACCCTGGGCAGATTAAATTAAAACAAAGGGAAATTAGTTGAGATTCCTTCTTGATTCAATTTGAATTTTCAAAATGACAAAACGTTATTCATGAATGTTTTAAGGTTCACTTTGATGCATATTTTATCAACTTTGAATGTATCACAAATTTCTCTTTTAATTTAGTTTTTTAAAAATAGTAAAACTGAAACAGACGGTCTTGCCCAGATTTAAAGGGATATTAGTTCTCCCCTCACATCTTCTGTCTGGTCTTGTGAGAACGGCCCATTGTGCCCAAGTACAACAGTTTCTTTGCAGTGCTGAATCTTAGACACTAAAGACAGCCTCTCTTCAATGGGGTTACTACAGGGGAAAAAAGGAAATTTCAGTGCCTCATAGAGGGGACAATCTAATCCTCTTTGCTGGTACATCTGCTGTGGCAGTTTTGCTCTGCAAATCAAAAGACATCCCATTAATTAAAGTTCCTTTTCCTTTCTTTCATTTTTATTCAGCTTGTGAAATGTGATCAGTATTCACCAGGAAAAAAAAAAAAAGTTTCAGGCCACTTTACTCACAAATATTCACCCGAAGGGTGTGCTCTTTGTTTTGTTGTCTGATTTCCGATTACTGTTCTTCCTCTTTTTTTTTTTTTTTTTTTAAGAAGGAGCCCTTCTCTGGCAGAGTGCAATACATTCAGAGAGCTTTACAAAACAAAGCTTTCAGCTCTGAGTCAGCAACAAACTCATCTTTGTTCATGTGGTTCTATTAAGGAAAGAAGGCCAATTTTATGCAGGTTTCTATGGCCGCCTTGACAAAGGCATCTCTCTGTGTGCAAGCCCTCTGGCAGGGACAGCCGCCTCTGAGATCATCGTTTTTAGCAATCACCAGCTGCAATGAAGATCAGAGAAAGAAAATCATAAACTGGTTTATATAGTGATTTTCCTGAGGATGCTGAAACACGGATTCATTCTCTGGTAAGCAGTTAATAATAAAGGCAGCTCATTGACTGCCTTCACATGGACAACCCAAGGCCTCCTCTACATTTTCCTTGAGCTCCAAACACACTTTGGTTGGGCATGCACATTTTCCTTTGTCTTGAGGAGGAAGTGAAGCTTATTTGCATTTCCCTGGGTTTCCTGGGAAATTCTCAGGAATTCTTGTCCTTCATTTGATGGTGTTTTAGTGTGTTTGGGATTACATTAAACTATAATCTCACAGTGTGTCTCCAGGTATTCAACATTCATTGAACAATACAGCTAGGGCACTATAAGATACCCAGTTGGGCCACAGGGACATGGTTTAAGATTTCTAAAATACATGGCAAACATTTGGAACACATAAAATAGATCTAATCTCCAGAGGGAAGCACTTTTTAAAAAACATCAAAAATGTGACCTCTTTGTCTTTTGAGTTTTAACAGGATAGAATTTGAAGACATGGAATTGGATAGAGCAATCTATGATACCATTTCCTTCAGAGTGTTCTAAGATAGGTTTATGCATGCTTTATTTAAAAGAAAATTTTAGATGAAATAAATTTGGGTAGGAAGTGCAGGTCTTAAGGAAATGAAACTTAATGGCTGGCCTTCTCAGAACACTAATAATATACTGAAGTACATAGTAATTTTCTAAAGGATTCCTTTTATTCATCTGCTTGGATTTGTCCTACAAAGATCACACTTTGAGGAAATGCTGAGCAAGGTCAATGGGGATTAACAACGGAAGGCACCAGAAGCTCCAGTACTCTGGATAGTGATGAAGTTTCCAAGAGTAATTTCAGGTATGTTTATTTTAATATGTGTATATAAAATATTTATAGTCCAAAGCTGTCTGAAACTAGCCATTCAGAAATCAGTTACAATGCGGAATAAGAGAGTGCTATAACCCTCCTCCACAAGAAAATGTTATCTTTTTACAGTTAGGAAACGTTAGGAGACCTTAGTTGGCTTATGTGTACACTCGTTTTAGGATTCTCATTTCAGAGGCTCCATGGCTTACAGAAAGAGCCACAGTGGAATTTAAATGACAAGCCAGGGCTGCTTAAGCATACAGAAACCTAGCAGCAGGTACCCTATTGAACTTTCTCGATTCATGGCTACTGACTGCAGATACCAGTAAAAATAGTTTTGCCATATTTTAAGTACCATTTACTTTTTGTTATTAACTGAGTACTTCCGGGAAAGTCTTTTGTTCATTCTTATTTTTGTTCTTTCAAGAAAGGACTATTTATTTATTGAGTGCAAATGTACAAGATAACAAGATAGATATGGTGTCTGCTCTTCTGGAACTGACTGGTTAAGGTGAAGAAAGGAGAAAAACTGTGTTTTATAATTTTTAGTCATAGAATGGATTATTCATTTTGCAAAATGGACTTCTGTATATTCAGAAGAAATTGGAACAGAAATTAACATTTTGAAAGATCAATGCATTAGATTCATCCTGAAACTTTCCTGACCCAGGGAAGTCATTCCCACAGGCATTAATTAGGCTGACACTTTGTTGTTGTACTTTGGGACAGAAATCGTGATGGGTAAGGATGAGTCCTTTGAATTATTTGCCCAGAATTCCTGAGCAACTGTTTCTGTTTTTCAGTGACTGATGAGTCACAGTTCAGATGAGATACAATCAATGTGCCAATTGTTGCAGTAAAACAAGGGCGATTTCTACTTTGGAATCCTTGACACAAGTCTAAACTTATCTGGAGTTGGAAAATAAATCCTAAAGACACATACCTCAGTACTCAATGTACTACAGCACATAAAAGATCTTTCTGCACTCTTGAAGCAAGTTGGGACTTGGCTTAAGGGTGTTTTTGTTATGAAAGAGAGCGAAAAAATGGATGAACTATGGAACACAATAGTGATGCAGAAGCTGGGATAAAACAGCTCTAAATTATAATACTTACCCCCATAACACAATTTAGGGGAAAAAATAATCTAGGCTTTTTGCTTCTCAGTTGGCCCTTGGACCTTGGTCTGTTTCCTTATCTTTCCACCTCTGGCTCCACTCTATAGTTTAGTAGATTATACAGATATGTGGACATCCCAGATTACCACAATCAAGTTCCATTCACATCCCTGCAAATAGCTGGCCCTGGCTTATCTCATGGCTGTAGAATATGTACATCTATAGTGAGACCTACCCCTATAGATAATGACAAATCAAATGGTGGGGGGAAGATTATGGCCCTAGAAACAACATTTCAGACAGCTGGGTCCTTGGAGAACACAACATTTTCCCTAAGTGGGCTGTGGATCTAGTTGTGTGGGTTCCTTGACTACAGTCTTCAGACTTTCCATGTAGTGGTGGATGGCGGGTGGGAGACTGGTAGTGCAACTCAGGGGAGGTCAAGACAGAACCCTCTCAGCACATCTTTCAGACTTGGTTCAAGGATGGTTCCAATTGGTTTGGTAGGCTTTAGTAAGTATTTGGCTTTTTTATGTAGCAGAGATGGGAAGACATTTAAGTGTTTAGATTTGCATTTTCAAAGTCTCATTCTAGCTACTATCTGGAGAGTCACCTGGAAAAAAAACAAGAGTGAAAGGAGGGTAACCAATTAAGTGGCAGTTATAGAGTCATCAACAAGAGATGATCATCTCCGTGGGGTCTTGTGAACACCCATCAGTTACTGATGAATTAGATGCCCTCACCTTCTTAAAAGGTCTTGGAGACTCTAGAAAACAGTGTCTTCTATAGGAAGAGGACAAAGTGAGAACTGAAAGCTCCTGTTTCCACACAACTTGCCCTCTAAATTAGCACAGCTTTATTAGTCAGTCTTATGCATGTTACAGTTTGGATCTAAAGTGTCCCTCAAAGCCTCCTGTGTTGAAGGCTAGGTCCCCATCTGGTACATTTTGTGAGGTGAAGTAGGAGAAATTTTAGGAGGCAGGGCCTGGTTGGAGGAGTAGGTAACCAGTGGTGTGTAATTAAAAAGTATGTCCCGGCCTCTGTCTTTCTTAATCTCACACTCCTTTGTCTCCTGTCCACCATGAGTTGAGCCACTTTGCTTCAACATGTGCTCCCTGCCCTGGTGCTGCCTCATCATGGGTGCAGAAGCAATGTGATCATGGACCAAAGCCTCTGACATCATAAGTGAAGTAAACTTTCCCTGATTTTAAGTTGTGTGTGTCAGGTATATACATTCCACAACAATGGAAGTCTGACTAATAATCCTCACTAACATAATTTTACTATTCTATCACGTTTATCAATGTGACTTTATTTTTTCAGAACACTCTTTCCTAGAATGATAGAAGTTGCAAATAACTTTATTGTTTGCTCACAAATTCCTAGAGAAATATTTTTATATTCAAAAATATTTTAATTTTAGCCTTATGTTTTATTAATTCCAGATTGAAACTAATTTTTAATGAATGTTAGAGTGTTCAACATGTTCTTTAAGACTCTTTAAAACCATTTTTTAGAAAACCTCACCTTGCAGTCTCCACCAAATTTAATCTATTCTATCCTAATTCTATTTTTTTTTTTTTGTGGTGCTAGGGATTGAACCTAGGATCTTGGACATGCTAGGCAAGTGCTCTGTCACTGAGCCACATCTCCAACACTATATCATGATCATGATTCTTACCCAGTCCCCATCAGATATTCTGCATTCAAAGATTATCTTAAACCCTATTTTAAAATCACATAAATCTCCCATCATTTCCCTCATATTATAGGGATACTAGAAGTCATTCTCGTTTCTTTGTGCTATGGTTTAGATACAGATTTAAATTGTCTCCCCCCAAATCAATGTGTTGGAGAGTCAGTCCTTGGTTTGGTGATGGTGGAGAGATGGTGGGGCCTTTAAGAAGTGGGGGTCTAGTAAGACATCCTTATGTTATTGGGAGCATGCTCTTGAAAGGATTGTTGGACTCCAACCTCTCAGACTTCTTATTTGGCAATACGTTCTTTTCCTCACATGTGCACTCTTTCCCTGATGCCATACAGACAAGAAGGTCCTCACCAGAGCTGAACACTATGCCCTCATATCTCTAGAACTGTGAGCTGTTTTCTTTATAAAGTTAGCCTACCTCAAGTATTTTGTTATAGGAATAAAAAAAAAAAGACTAGTATGCCTTCCAAGGAATAAACTCAGCTATGTTTTATCAGCAAGGTATTTTTGTGATATTTGTGATGTGCCAGTCTTTTTAATCTTGGCACCTGATTGAGATCTGATGAAGACCACATACTGCTGCAACCCCAAATCCTCCATGTAGAAGTACACTCCTCTGAATCACCTTGAACTTTCAGTTAGGGAGTCTTGCACTGGGACCTCCTATTTCCTTTTCTTTGGCACCTCAAATTTTGATTTTATTTTGTCTTGTAGGGATAATAAAACATTTTAAGGAATGATTTGATAATCAAAAAATGTGGAAAATTTTATTCTTTCTGGCAATCTGCCTTATGAATAACCCTCAATTTGTCTCTGTTCTTGTCATTTCTTGGTGTATGTCAGTTAATCTAAAGGTGATGAGAGAAAGGACAGGTAGGGGTCTCATAAGTCTGTTCTTCAAGTAGCTTTGCAGACTGAGAAATTCAGGTTTGTATATAAGCTAGATTCCTTTGGACAAAATGTTCTTTGGGTGAAAGAAACCTTATCAAAACCCCATGGGAAATTTCCTTAGTCTTGTTTTGTCTGGCTCTGGGTGAAGTCTCTTCTAAACCATTCCACCTCCTAGAAACTTTAAATTTGTCAGATTTGGGCTTGAAGATGTCTGGCTCTCAGGTTTAGTCCGTAAGACACAAAATGCACAAGCATTATTTACAGCTGATTATTCCCACATTTTTAGTGTTTGTCTAAATTTCACTCTGTACCTTTCTCAGTCAGACTCCTGCTTGTTACATACATTTATGTTATTACCAAAAGTCAGGTAATTGCCTTCATAAATGGCATAATTTCACCAAGCATAATTCAGAACTCCAGAATCTACTTTGAGGATATTTTTAAGATCCAGATAATATTGCAGAAATAACAAATGCCAGGAATTGTATTCTTACTGCATTTTAAATTCTATGGTGATCTTATGAAGTTGGCATTTTTTAATTGTGGTAAGAATATTTCACCTGACATGTACCCTATTAACAAAACTTTAAATATATAATACAGTATTGTTAATAGACATACAGACCAATGGAACAGAACAGAGTCCAGAAATAAACCCATGCTTCTAGGGTCAACTTATCTTTGACAATTATGTCAAAAACACACAATGGAGAAGGTCTCTTAAATGAGATTAGGAAAACTGGATATACCATACAAAAAATAATGAATTTGACCTTATTTTGTACACTCTACATAACTCTAATCAAAATATATAAACAGCTTAAATCTAAGTCTTAGGACTACAAAACTTCTAGAGGAAACCTATGGATGAAACTTTGCCGTATTGGTTGTGGTGAAAATTTCTTGAATGTGACACCAATAATAAAAAATACAAAACAAAATTACGAAAACAGAATTGCATAAAACTAAAAAGCTTCTGCACAGCAAATGAAACAACCCAAATTGAAAAGGCAACCCACGGAATTGAAAAAAGTAATTGCAAACCATATGCAAGTATTACTAGCACAGCTAATAAATATCCAATGTATGAGGAAATCCTCCAACAAAGAATAGCAAACAAACAAGCAAAAACTCCAAGAAACCCTAATTAAAAAGTGGCAACGGACTGGAATAGATTCTCCAAAGAAGTCATACAAATGGTCTACATATATATGTAAAGAAAAATATTATATGGCATTTTATATAGGCATTTTAGAACATGAAGGGAACAAAAGTCAAAATATCCCATTGTCAAAATAATCTCATTGTTTATATGTTTGATTGGTAATCACTCAATAAAAATTTCAATTCCTTTTATAAGAAACTAATTTCCCAAAGTTAAAGAGAACTGTGAATAACTTGAAACTATCTCTTTTATTTCTTTTAAAATCACAACTCTTATCTCAAGGCCTTTGTCCTACTACTTTTCTTCCCCTACCCTAAGCATTTCAGCTTCCCCCTCATGCTTCTTCTCCCTCTGATTTGCTCTCCTCTTTCTTAGTCCACCAAAAAACATCTCCCCTTAAATTCAATTACTTCTTAAATATTTCACAGAATGGGAAAAACCCTTGATGTTGGTTTTAAGTCCTTGTATCCCTTTGATTTTAGAACAATTATCAAAGGCTTTCTACAGTCCATATAGGACAGAAAAATTTACATAGAAATTTAGAATTGTCATAAGAATGTATAATTCAGAGGTTCTAGATCCATATGCATTAGCCATTGGTTCCTCTCTTGGTAGAATTGTGAGATGGAAAACACTAGATGGATGACATTGGACAGTAAAGGCAGACTTATTTCACAGTTAAACAAAGAAATTTTGGAAGCTATCCCAAAGCTTTGTCATGGAAAATGAAGGGGATCTAATCCATCCCTGCAAGCAAAGGAAGGATGAGCCCATCGACTTTGGAGACAGGTTCTTAAAAATTTAGATATCTTCTTAATTCACGAGTAATGCCTGAAACAGGTATGAATTTAGCTCTCTCTTTCATAATACATTTTGTTGGTTTCCTGAATAATTATATTTACCTGATACCTAGGCAGATTTTTTAAAAACCTAAAGGCATGACCAAAAAGTAAAAAAAAAAAAAAAAAAAACCAAGAACAAATCAAAACAAAACAAACAAAAAGAAAAAAAAAAAGAAACAATACAATAGTTCAGATTGCAAGAGATCTAAAACTTTATATCACCTTGTACTTATTGTACTTAGAAAAGGAAGTTCCTGTCTCCATGGAAATAACAGGTGGGGATCTTTCATTAAGATGGCTTTTGAAACTGAGCTTACACAAAAATAGAACTCAGAAGCCAGAATAAGATACAGAAGGTACAAATTTGGAAGTTAAGTGACTTTCATGGGCTGCCGCAGTATGGCTGGGCACAATTCAGGAGCCACTTGTCAAAAGAAACTAACTTTATTTTTAGAACTACAAACGCCAAGCAAAACAGCTCCTCAGGAAAAAAAACCCTCAGAGCCCAACTGCCACCACCGGCTTCCACAAGCCTCTCACCCACACCCCCCTCACGGCCTCCCACAATCCTCCTGCTCTTGAGGCTGATTGGCTGGGTTGCATGGGCGGAGCCAAAGAAGTCCCCCAATGAGCAGCTCCGTGGTCTGAAAGGGCAGGGAAATAGCCCAATGAGCAGCTCCATGGAGGAGCCAATCAGCTAGATGTTGCTGGGGCCGCTGTGAGCCCATCATCAGCCGGCAGCTGGAAGTTTGCTGGCAGTTGGAAGTTTGCTGGGGCTCCTTTGGCTGTGGCTCTCAACAATGGGCCTTCCATCTAAATATGCTACTTTTCCTTTGCCTTAGTTCATCTTACAGATTTCCATACTACTAACTTCACATGGCACTGGAACATTCTTTGAAAAGTGGTACTGAAAAATAACACTATTTTACTTTCTCTAGCTCAAGAGTGGCCAAAACTGGACCACTGACTCACTCCCAGTCACTGGTATTTGATTTGTGTGCAAAAGGCAATGATTTCTACTGGTAAACTGTAGACACTTTCTATTTTTGGTAACTTGATTCCTATCTTCAGGATATTCTCTGCATCACCCAGGGGCCATTTTGGCCCATCAGTTTGCCCTTTTGGCAAAAGTTCACCTTAAGATGTTTCTGGAAATCAGAGAATTGCCCATGGTGTGGTTCACTTACTACCAAAAGAGCCACCAAGAGAGTGCCACTTGACAAGTTCATGAAATTGGACAGGTGCTTGTTCAGAATTAAGTTCTTTTAGTTATAATATTGGCCTTTTGAGTAGGAGTATATGTTCCTTTTCAGGTGGAATATTAAGCCTATGTTCCTGAAGACATCTTCAGTATCTTTAATATTACTTAAAAAATATTTGGGAAGAAAAAAACAACATAAGATTTCCAATTTGGCTCCTAACAGTGTGAGGCTTTGTGTTTGGGGATGGTGTCTACTTTATTAGTCTACTTTGTTTCTCTTGGTTGAGGAGTGAGCTAAAACCTCAAATCATAGTTCTTCTCTTAGGATTTGGGTTGCAGTGTTCAGATGCGTGATCTCTAGTATTTTGAGTTCTAGAGATAATTTTGAATTCTTTTTATTGATTCTACATGACAGTAGAATATGTTTTGACATAATTATAATAGCATGGAATATATTTTGTTCTAATTCAGTCGCAGTACCTCCCCTTCCCCAATTCTCTGCTCCCTTATCTCTGTTGATCTTTCTACTATTTAACTCTAGTTATTTTTATAATTAATTTTTTGTGGATGTACAAGATACTGAGATTCCTGTGTACATAGGAATGCTATGTATGTCAGATGTTGAACAACCATATCATTAAATGATCTAACAAAAAAAAAGAGGAAAATGTAACACTCATGGAGGTTAAAGTGATCATCTTTGGGAACTTGATACATTATTATGACAACTCAAATAGTAATGAAAATTTATATTGATTATATCCCCAGGTATTAATGAACCTCCTGGCAAACCAGCCTGATGAGTAACTACATGAATAATAACAGGAGTAACGCTAAGCCCATCTCCGCCCACAGGGCTTATGGTCTACATAAACATCACTTTATTATTTGGCTGTCTTCATTAACATGACTTTACTATTTTTATCAACATGAATTTACTAATCTAGGAAACTCTTTTCTAAAAAAAGTTAAAGATGCAAATAACTTTATTATTGGAGAGCCATTATTTGAAAAAGTTTAGTTTTGAGCCCCCAAAATTGTTGACCCTTGTGACTTGTGCCCATCTTTCAGTTGTACAAGAATTTCTAAATTAGGATCTCTAGTAACTCACTTCATACTTAAAACTGAACAAAAGCATACTTAAAAAACATAAAGTCCTCATTACATCTGGTAAGAATGTGTGAAATCTGTAAAGCCAAATATAATATAAAGGCCACATTAGGAATATCCTTTTCTTGGGATTTATTTATAAGATATGCTACAAATTTTTCTCTTTGTGTATTATATTTAAAATTAGACAATTTGCAAAAGTTTGGGGGAGGGAAGAGGCTGGTGACTTCTGAGTTCAATTATAATATATTTTTAATTTTCATCTGAACATGTTGCATTTATTTACCTGTATTCCTTAAAGGCATGTTTTGATAACTATAGTGATTTTTTCTGTTTTTTTTATTCTTAAGTCACTAATTTATTTAACAACTATCATGTACACTGATAATGTTCTACAATGTGAACACAAATCAAGTAAAATTTGGTTTCTACCTTCAATTGGTTTATACTCCATGAAGAAAAACAGCTCAGCAATGAAGAGTTTTTGCAGCATGGAGAGTGCTCTGATAGATGCTGTAGTAAACAGAATAAATCTCTATCCAGTTTGAGAGGTGACCAGATCTTCCCAGAGAAGATGAAATAAGAAATGAGTTCTGAAAGATTAGTTGCAATTGTATAGGAATCATAGAATTTAGCTAAATAAGATTCTCAAGCCTTAAAGTGCATATGAAGCATCTAGGAATTTTGTTAAAATGCAATTGCATCCATTATTTATGGAGTGCTGAAAATTCCAATTTCTAACACACCCTCAGGTGGTGTCAATAGTGCTAGTCTTGGACTCACTTCTCAC